AAAAAAATAATGTCATTTAACTCATATTATTATATACAATTTTCATATTGAACTAATCAAAATTATCTTTTCAATTCATATATTTATTTCTCCCTTTTTCAATTATCTCACTTATTTTCATTTAGACCTCTTGTTTATCCATTAAGGAATGAAAGAAATATAAATGAATTTAAAAACAATAATGAAATATTAAGAAATAACGTTTTTCATAACAAATTTACAAATAATTAAATAAACTAAAATAATGAAATGTTAAACAAAAGGTCAATTATTGGACATTTCATAATTTGTTTTCTTCATATTGAGACGTAATTATTTCAATTTCTCTAATACACTTTACTTCATCACAAAGTTCCTTTTTCAACACCTAAACATAACAAAACGATGTTATTCAAAAAGGTTAATTAAAAAATATACTCATTAAAGAAAGAAATGTTGAGTTAAGACTAAAACAAGTTTCCAAATACTAACCCCTTGTCCCGTTTATTAAAATAACATGAAACGTATTAAACTTGTATTTCTTGGATTGATCCAACTAATTCCCACTCTAGTACAACAATTTGTTTAATACACAAAGAATGGTCAGTGCCTAACTCTGGCCTTGGCGATACACCATAGTCGCAAAAAATGTCATTGGAGAATTCTCCTTTTCCATCCATCCCTATGCGGAACTCATGACTCACATGAATAAAATCAGTGGCATCCCCGTCTAAATACGAATAAGGTTTTGAATCATGAACACGGTTGACGTACTTGTTCTCATCCTTTTTCCACTGTTGGATAATAATTTTTCTAATAGGTCCATTCTTCTGTCTGTCCCTAGGGTTCTCTTCTCTAGGAATCTGAAGGGAGGTTAAAAATAATTGGTTGTTATGAGTTAGTACAACAATAGTAATATTATCTTTTTGTTTCCACTGATCTATAATGGTTTGTGGAATTGAATCTCCTTTATAAATAACTTTAGCATGATTATACCCATTCCATTCTTCTATCGTTTCAAGGTTTTGAACAATAAATTCATTAATCTTATTATCTTGGTTTAACTCGTCAATTCCTCTTAAATATTGTTGGTCTATCATTTTTATGGCTGAATTGAATTGAATCTCTATGTTCGTAATCTTTTCATAAAGAGATTTAAATACAGCACTTACTGCCTC